CTCCCTCTTGTATCTTCTTCACATAAAAAGCTAATGACATTTTAATGATACCCTCAAGCTTTTTCTCCCATTTACACCATTGAACAATACAAAAAGCTAACTTGTTCTATTCCTTCATTTTTATGATAAGATGATGACCATGATCTGATTTGCTCTTGGGATGATGTGAGCATTTCTTTATCTTAAATAAGATCAGATCAACAAATAGCACGTGCTTACAAGCATTAATAATAGCATAAGCACACACATACATATATATTATATATATATATATACATGTGTAGACAATGAATGTCTTTGAGAGAGTTAATCGCATTTTCATTTCATCAAATCAACTAATGAAATATTCATTTGACATAAGTGCCACTACGTTGATTACAGGCATACATACACCTATACTTTGTGTCACTTGAGTATATTGAACAATATTGTTCAAACTCAGCATGACATTCCTTTTTCTTACGACTCTCAAAAAAGATAAGTTTTTTAAAAATAAAATAAAAAAGGAAATCCAATTGGCAACATCTGTAAAAGTATGACGTGAATGTATATAGTCGTTTTTTCTCTCTCTCTCTCTTGCTCGTGTTCTTGAAATTTTTTATCATAGTTTGTTCATTCAAGTATCAATCTGACAGGAGTGAGGAGGTCATAATCGTCAACTTATGTGCATATGGGTATATATATATGATCTAGTATTGACTTTTCATTTATTTTCTTGTTCAAGTGGCTTATCGAATGTTCATCTTGCGATAACACACACATACAGTAGCTCGATATTGCAAACTTTATGTACTTCAATTTAACCCTCTGTCTTCATTTTTAACTTGAATACATTTTGATGATAAGACATGTAACATATATCAATTTTACCTGTTTAGTAAATTCAGCAATATCGTCATTAAATGATTCAGATGAACAAACATCTCCTGGTCCACCTAAATCCCTTGGTGTACAAGTCGCTAATTCACATTTTTCAAAGATTAATGCCAGTAATGGAAATAATGGATGACTAAAAGAAGAAAATAAAAAAAAATGAAAGATTGGTCTTATCTTCTTCTTCTTCTTTTTGATAGTTGAACTATAATTATGATCAAACATCAAGAAATTGATCTATCTCTTCCTTTTATTCTTTTTTCTTTAGCTTCAAGCACTTTTCATATGTGAAAATTACAGAGAAAGATTTTTGATATTTTTTTTTTATATTACGATTACGATCGTATCATTTTACATTTTGAGTTATATTAATAACAGTAGTCTTGATAGTGAGAAAGAAAAAAACGAACCAATAAAAATTTATATCTACAAAGTTATCATCGTAATAAGTATTTTGCTATGATTTTAGCAACCGAGAAAGGAGCAGCAGGCGTAATGATCATCAATCACTGTCATACGCATGCGAGAACTTAGAGAGAGAAAAAAAAACTCAAGCAAATATATATATATATACACATACATACATAGTGTAACTGTGGGGAAGAAAAGAAAAAAAA